CAACAATGCTTGATAAGAAATGTACTCATTACCTTGCCCATGTAATTGTAACCCCTCTGTACAGTATTTTCACAATAAAAAATAAAAATTAAAAAATAACATTTTATGATTAAAGTTGTTTTCATATGTTATTTCAACTTACATATTTTGTTACCTATAGGTTATTCTAGTTTCATGTAGTTTATTTTCATAAAATAAGCTTATTTAAATAAATGGAAAGGCTATTTTATGTATAGAAACAAAGGGGAGGTATTTAGAGCTCTGGATGTCATTTTAATTTGAATTAGTGAATATAATGAATTGTGAAATTAGTATGTCTTAATACTGTTATCATAATTTCATTAATGTGGGAACTAATTGTTTATTTTGACTGGAGTATTTTCTTTATTTATATGAACAGTGAAGTTCGGGAATGTCTTAAACTTGATCAGGATCACAAAAGGTGTTTTGCACATTATAAACAAGTAAAGAAACTTAATAAACTGATTGGGTCAGCTGAAGAGCTCATTAGAGATGGCAGGTAAGAATATTCTTGTCCCAACCATATGGCCTTTCCTTGTATGTCTGGTTTTGGCACAAATGAACTACTGAACTATTGCTTATTTATCATCTGGTCTCTGAGAGTGGGAAAGTCTAGATGGCACTAGGCCTTAGCAAAAATACTAGGATTGTACTTTACTTCAGTATGGCAGATTATAACTAACAGTAATTGTGAATCCTTACCTGAAGATTGATGTTATGGTTTTTTTTGTCTCGTGTTTCAAGCACTCAACTATGAGGTTACAGACATGCATTTGACTATAATTTTTGATCTTAAAAATTTTGTATCTTAATGTGGGAAAGACATAACCTCCCCCTCCAGTATACACACACACACACACACACACACGCACGCACGCACGCACGCACATACACACTTATTGTTATGAAAGTACCAAAGCAGGACATTTTAATCCAGTCCAGAATGGCCAGGAGTAGACAGAGAAGCATGCCCGGCAACGGTGGCTCATACTTGTAATCTTAGCTACTCAGGAGGCAAAGATCTAAAGAGCTAGCCGGGGCAGGAAAGTCTGTGAGACTCTAATTACCATTAAACCACTGGAAATGGCGCTGTAGCTCAAGTGGTAGAGTGCTAGCCTTGAGCTGAAGAGCTGAGGGATAGCGCCCATGACTGACAAAAAAAAAAAAAAAAGAAAGAAAGAAAGCAGAGAGAGAAACACTCTTAAGCTGAGCATGGGCTGTACTACTAACAACAGTAAAGAACTTCCATTAGAGTGGGTGACTTTTCTAGTTTTTCTAGAGATTTTATCTGGGTATTGGATTCTGGATTAACAGATCTTTCCCTCAGTACCTGATACATTTTGGGCCACTAATTTTTGTCTTCCATAGTTGCTGATAAAAAAGTCCCTTGGCGGGGCTGGGAAGGTGGCTTAGTGGTAGAGCACTTGCCTTGCATGCATGAGGCCCTGGGTTCGATTCCTCAGCACCACATAAGCAGAAAAAAAAGCTGGAAGTGGCACTGTGGCTCAAGTGGTAGAGTACTAGCCTTGGGCTGAGGAGCTGAGGGACAGCGCCCAGGCCCAGAGTTTAGGCCCATGATTGGACCCCCCCCCCCAAAAAAAAAGTCCCTTGTCATTTTGATGGGTTTTCCCCATAAAGATAGTCATTTTCTTATTTCCTAGATTTTTTTTCCTTTTTTCTTCAGAAATTTAATTGCAATGTTTCTTGGTATGGATTTCTTTCTATTTATCTTCTTTGTAGTCTCTTCTTGAATAGGTTTGTGTACAACATAATGTTTGGTCAAGAAAGTATAGATTATAATAGAGCTGAAAAGTTTCTACCATCTAGTTCTGACATTGGTCCATTTTAAATGGAAGGGAGGGCAAGTATCTATCTCCTTAATACTGTTAGATGAAGTAGAACTTTTTTTTTGTCTCTTGTTGATGTTTAAGGGAAAAAAATATTACCAACCTGAAACCTGTGTGTGTGTGTGTGTGTGTGTGTGTGTGTGTGTGTGTGTGTGTGTGTGTGTGTGTGTGTGTGTGTGTGTGT